CCCCAAAACCCCAAAACCCCAAAACCCCAAAACCCCGTAAATGCTATTTCTAGTTGAAATTTTTAGAAGATATTTAGCTCTTTAGCGTCGCCTCTTCTCACCTCAGCAGGACATGTTGGACACTTGGCTCTGGCTCTTCCACGCCCGGTTCCACAGATATTCTCAAAGGAGAGCTTAGTGATACAATGTCCGCATCTCAACAACATTGGTGGGTTCTCTTTGGTAGCAATCTCTTTTGACACTGGGCAGATAAAGATAGAATGGAATTTATGAGAAGAGTCTAGATCAAAATCGATCTGCAGCTCATCATTTAGGAACAAATGCTGTCTGCTCTTGAAAGCTTTGAAGTATTTCTGGAATTTTGGAATTCCTAGTGTTCCTACTTTTAAGCACATGAAAAGACCTATAATTTGAATATATTTCTGAAGAATGGTTTTGACGTAGTAGCAATGAAAAGATACTTACCTTGCTGAGTCAGACCACTGTCTCTTCCACTTCCTTGGAGTTTGCAAAAATCTCTCACAAAATTCTGTGTAAGATGGTTCCAATGAATCTCAGTAGTCAAGTCATAATATTTAGTATCTTCAAGCTCATTAATGAAAGCTACTGAAGTCATCAACTTCGAAATCTGGACTTTATATTTTGGAAAGAAATCGTAGAAATTTGCTTTTGAATATTCAACAATTTGGCTAAGAATCTCAACTTGCTTCTCACACTCTCCAATATCCTTAGCTTCTTTCAGCATTTGTCAGAACTGAGCCTTATGAGCAAGGAAGGGAACATCACTCTCAGAGATCTTTAGCTTTGAATCATTCTCTTTTATCCACTGGAATACTTTGTCTAGTTTCTTCAGATTAATCTCAGTAAGTATCAGATCAAGGGCTCTAAAGTTATCTTTAAACTCTTCTTCTAGCTCAACTCCTGACTCTTCACAGAACTTCTCTCCTGAATCAAATCTACCACTGACAAACAGATGCTTCGAGATGATCTCATTAACAAATTCTTTGTTTATTCCTTTCCCAAGGTCAATCATATCTATTTCAGCACCAGATGGCTTCCCACTCAGACTCTTGCATTTAGCAATGCTCTTCCCAATCTTTGAGATAGAGTCATACATGTTTTTGTTCTCAGGAGCGATCTTATTTCCTCACCATTGAAGACAAGTGCACCTTGGTCATACTAATCGTTTATAAAGGAAACTTACTTTTTGACAGCACTTATGGCAGCTTTGGTCTTCTCCTTTTCACTAATTTCTTTCTTTTCAATCCTTTCGAGTTCTTGCTCTGTCTTCGTTATTCCTTCAAGCATGCTGTCGATCCCTTCTATCCCAATATATCCGTTCATTTTCTTTCGACTCTTCTGGATTCTGCCTTTATACTTGCTAAAATCTTTAAGAACAAGGTCCATTATTTCTAAATCGTAAAATTTAAATTATAACAAATTTGATTATAAGATCTTTATTGGGGTTTTGGGGTTTTGGGGTTTTGGGGTTTTGGGG